TGAGAACTCGGCAGAAGAGCTACCCAAAGCGACCAGCCATAAAGAACCATGGACTGAAGAGGCCCCCAATAGATGAGACAATAAACCAAGGGGGAGAAATCCAAATGGAGCCAAATCACGGAGCCCCGAGGAAGCCGAATCCAGAGCAGTGCCTGCCACACTGCTGCAATCTCCCTCACCATGCCACGAGCCAGACGGAAGGACAGGACCTAACGACCATGGTCGGACTGGTAAGCACTGGTTACAAAGCCCCAACCGAGAGACGAGGAGTCCGTGAACACATCGAGCAAGGAAAGGGGAGGGCACCATGGCACCGAACCCTGAAAACCCTGAAGAAGAAGCCATTGTCGCAGCAACCAGTGCAAGGCCACTGGGGTGTGAACCCAACGGTCATGAGCATGGCAAAAGAGGCTCTGAAATTACCAGAACAGCCTCTGAAGTCAAATACTGCCCAACAGATAAATCAGAAGAGCAAAATTCAGGCTCCTGCACAGCTGCATGAGCAACCGCCGGGTGACCCAGGAAACCCTTAAGAACAGCTGAAAATGGGACTGAACCGGTGCAGTGCTGCAGGGGTGAGAAAAATTAACGCTGTCAGAGAATCCCACACAAGGGCCCAGCCAAGTCCGAACCTGGGACAGAACCAACTAGGATTTCTGCCAATTTACCAGGAACCCGAACCCCGGCCAACTGGGAAGGAATCAGATCCCTGGTTAGCAGACAAGTCAACTGGCTGGGAGACCACACCAACCAGTCGTCAAAGTAGGCCTATACCCAAAGCCCTAGCAAACGCAGACGGGCCACTACAACCCGAGTAAGACTCGTAAAAATGCAAGATGCCAGATTTAAGCCGAAAGGCAGACAACGAAAGCCGTAAGCCTGTTGCCCCCAACCATTCCCTGAATTCCGGATAAATAGGGACGTGCCAATAAGCATCACGGAGGTCAAGGGAAAACATCCAGGCCCATGGCTCGAGAATGAGCCTGACCTGAAAAAGTATGGTCATCCGAAAAGAAGGGCATGGAATCAAAAGGTTCAGACGAGACAAGTCGGCAGGCATAGACGCGATAAAGCACCTAAATTATTAGGATCGTCTCAAAGCCCTCCAAATATACTCACTAGAAAGAAGACAAGAGATATATCAAATAATATACACCTGGAAGATACTGGAGGGCCAAGTACCAAATTTACACAGTAAAATAACAACATACTGGAGTGAACGCTATGGAAGAAAATGCAGAATAGAACCAGTGAAGAGCAGGGGTGCCATAGGCACAATCAGAGAACACTGTATAAACATCAGAGGTCCACCGTTGTTCAAAACCCTCCCAGCAAGCATAAGAAATATTGCCGGAACAACCGTGGACATTTTTAAGAGGAAACTAGATTTATTCCTCCAAGAAGTGCCGGACCAACCGGGCTGTGGTGGGTATGTGGGCCTGCGGGCCGCTCCAAGTAACAGCCTAGTGGACCAAACTCTCACAAGTCAAGTCTGGCCTCGGGCCGGGCTTGGGGAGTAGAAGAACTCCCAGAACACCATCAACCAGGTAAGTCCAGAATGTACCGAAGATTCACATAGTCTTGTTTCGGAACTGGGAACAAACGGGAAACCCACTTAAGAGATGAAGTCATTTTGACCAAGCCCAAGCAAAGCCACTCCAACATGACCCGAATGAGGGGGCGGGAAAGAAGGCTGCCCCCTCAGGTTTGACCCCGACGGGCTAACAGGCCACCCAATGCCACCGAAGGCCGGAATAAACTAATCAAAATGCCCACAAATCGTGGGACCGATTATAGGTAAATAGAACCAACCTCCCCCCCCCCAATGCCCCATCGACAAGGCGACCCGCGAAGGGGCTGATGCAAACCCTGAGAAGCTAAGCGCCGCACAGAGTGACCACGGCACTTAGCTTAGACCATAACCAACTAGACGACGAAGGCTCCTGGACATCCACAGAGGCAACAACTGGTACCAAAGGCCTATCTCAACCAGCAGAGGCCGGAACCCTGGCACGACCAAGCTGGGACAACCTAGAGCGGCGCCCACCGTAACACCAATAAATCAGAAATTGGACAGCAACTAGCAGAGGCCAACAAAACTGTAGAAAACACTTTGCACAAGACAATCAGGTTCCTAGAAGCACAATCCGAGGACCTTAGCTACTTTCACTTATGTAGTCCTAACTTGCAACATTGCATTATCCCTAACTTGCAACATTTACTAAAACAGGATAATCAGTAGGTAAAAACTCGTCTACCTGATAACAGGCTCCGGGTGTTCCTGTGGTGTGTTGCGTAGTGACTACTTCATCCAGGCTAAATAAAGCATCGAGTTCCTGTGTCAAAAGTCTGAAGGATACATTTTCAAATTAATCTATATACCTCGAGTATACCCGGAGAAGTTTTTGGGAGTTCTTCTAACCCCCCGAGACCGGCCTCAGGCCAGGTTCGACATGTGATAACTTGGTCCAACAGGCTGTTGCTTGGAGCAGTCACTACATATATCTACCACTATATAGTGAATCTACCAATATTATAGTGGATATACCGCTATATCCACTATGGCCTGGTTGGTCCGGCACTTCTTGCAAGAACTTATCTAAGTGCCTCTTGAATACATTCACCTTTGTTCCAGCAATATTTCCAATGCTTACTGGGAGGGTATTGAACACTGTCTGAACAAAATAATGTTCAGACAGTGTTCTCTGATTGTGCCTATGGCATCTCTACTCTTCACTGGTTTTATTCTGCATTTCCTTCCATATCTTTCACTCCAGTATGTTGTTATTCTACTATGTAAATTTGGGACCTGGCCAATGATGACGGCCAAAGAAACAGCCACTGATGACAACAAAGAAATGAGCGAAATACGAAGCATTCACTACGACTGTTTTCAGTGAGCCACTGAAGACTGATAATTCAAATGAATTTTTCATGGATGTGATACCAACATCAAATCATGTATCAGATGTCACCCTATCCTCACTGAATTTTTAAGATGCCATAGACAGTATAGCAATGCACTTTGCACCAGACCTTGACTATTGGAACTCTATATTCACCAAGAACTGTAAAAAGACATTATCGCAGGCCCTTCACATTTTTTGGAGTCAGGGCCTAGATACTGGCATTATCCCTGACATATTAAAAACAGCAGAGATAGCATCACTCCATAAAGGAGGAAATAAGGCAGAGGCAAAAAATTACAGACCGATAGCACAAACATCACACATCATAAAAATCTTTGAGAGAGTTCTAAGTAGTAAGATCACAAAATACATGGAATCACAGCATCTCCATAACCCTTGACAACATGGTTTCAGAATAAGGCACTCTTGCCTTTCCCAGTTGCTGGACCACTATGATTGGCCTTAGATACCATGGAAGACAGACAAAACACTGATGTAATTTACACAGATTTCACAAAAGACTTCGAATGTGACCATGGTTTTATTTTTCACAAAATGAGTTCAAAAGGAATTACCAGAAAAATAGGCAGATGGATCTACAATTTCCTGACTAACAGAACCCAATGTGTAATAGTCAACAAAATAAAATCCGTACCATCAACTGTGAAGAGCTCAGTCCCTCAGGATACTGTGCTTGCTCCAGTACTTTTTCTCATCCTCACATTAGACATAGACAAGGACACAAGCTATAGTACAGTATCATCCTGTGCAGATGACACTAGGATTTTTATGAGAGTAAACACTATATAGGACACAGCAAACCTCCAATCAGATGTAACTCAGGTCTTTCAATGGGCTACAGAAAATAATATGGTATTCAATGAAGATAAGTTCCAGCTACTGCGCTACGGAAAAAATGAAAATATAAAAACGGAAACCATGTACAAAACGCAGTCAAATCATAACATAGAACAAAAATGCAAAGTAAAGGATTTGGGTTACTCATGTCGGAAGACATTACCTTTAAAAAACACAATAAAGTAGCTGTCACAGCTGCAAGAAAAATGACATGTTGGAAAAAAAACCTTTCACACTGGAGATGCAATACCAATGAAGATAATTTTCAAGATGCTAGTGCTCTCTAGAGTGGAATACGTTACACAATGTCAGCCCCTTTTAAATCTGAAGAAATTGCTGACCTGGAGAGGGTGCAGAGATCCTTTACTCCTAGAATCCACTCAGTAAAACATCTAAACTATTGGGACTGACTAAAATGCTTAAATCTGTATTCTCTTGAGCGCAGACGAGAGAGATACATAAAATCATTTACGCGTGGAAAATATTAGAGGGGCTGGTCCCAAACCTGCACACAGAAATTACACCATATGAGACCAAAAGGCATAGCAGGATGTGCAGAATATCTTTGTTGAAAAGCAGAGGTGCAATAGGTACTCGGAGAGAACTCTATTAACATCAGAGGCCCAAGACTAACACGCTTCCACTACACATAAGAGGCATAACTGGCCGACCCCCCCCCCCCTTGCAGTGTTTGAGATAGAACTTTATCAACACTTCCAAAGGATACCTCATCAACCAGGCTGTGATTCATACATCAGGTTTGGAGCAGCCACGTCTAACAGCCTGGTTGATTAGTTCAGCAACGAGGAGGCTAGGTCAAGGACCAGGCCGCAGGGACGATGAGCCCCAAAATCATCATAATGTACCCAACCGCAAGATAAGTTAACAAAAGGTAACTGCACTACCGAGTCACATCACAATATCAAATGGAAGATTTTATATTCAGGAAAGACCTTGGTAGATACTGATTTGGAAACAGGGTTTTTGATACGTGGTAAAATATAAAATACCGTAACAGATGTAGGTTTGCTGCATTGTTTCATGTGTAGATTAGACAAATCTATGAATGAGTTTGGGTGGATATAAACAGAAGCCCCATATGCACCAATAGGCCTTCTACAGTTTCTATTCTTATGTGCATACAAGGGCTATCAGAGAAGAGTTAAGAGCCACTTGCTGCACACACTTACCTATCTTGTTACAAAAATAATGCATGGCACCACAGGCACTCACCTCTGAAACTCCTGGCTCTCCTTTGGATTCTCAGCTCCACCAGCAATCACTCGCAGAAAGTCTTGCGTCAAGACAAATGGTACACGCTCTCGGTTGATGCCAAACTTCTTTTTGAAGTTTCCCAAGATATGGCCAAAGTCAATGTGGAAAATCTATTGGGAAAAATATTTGACTGTATCTACCATTATTATTCACTATAATTATTTAATGTGACTAATAACATTTCACTTGTACTTGCTGACATTTTTCTTGTTGTGGGAGGGTAGGTAGCTGGGGAGTTCGTTTTTTTTTTTTTTTTTTTTAAATGTGAGTGGGATAAACCAGCAATATCACTGAAAAAGTTCATAATAGTAAATGAATATCTCCCAAACATCCAGAAACAAAGTTGAAGAAACAAAGCAGAACTAGAGTGTTTGAAAGAAACAGTGTAGGAGCTCACGATAACCAAAACAAAGATGACCACCAGCACGAGGAAGAACAAAACAGAAGTGATGGATTTTGGTGTCTTTGATGAGGAAAATATTTGCAGGAGTTGTTTTCACAACAGGTTGGCAAAAGCAGAACACTGTAAAGTATTATGTGAATAAAATCAGGAATTTGAGCAGCAGTAATGAAAACTTGAAAAGTAAAGTTACTGTCCAGGAAGGTCAAATATGGGAATAATACAAAGATAAGATTCACTAGAAACTAAAGGAGAAGTCCTGGAGGAGAAAAATACAATACTGTATTAAATATAGTTAAGTTATATGAAATCTAGATGCTAGTGAATACAATAAGCAAGGAAATTACACGGGGGGGAACAAAAAACCAGCGTAGAATGTAATGAAACGCCATTTTCTGGGCGAGTCCCGGAGACTCCCCGGAGCTATCCATGGCCGATATAAATACCCTAACTATTTTGCATCAGTTGATGTGGACGAGTTCTAGCCTACCGGGGACCACAAGCCAGAACCTGGCCCCCCTCACAGAGGCACGGAGAGCAATGGCCCATAGAAATGCACATGTGATTTCGAGCATTCTATATCTGCCATCGACGGACAGGCACCCAGAAAGGTAAGCGCCACAAAACAAATTCCTATTCTGGTTAACAACGAAAATCAAACGAGTGAACAGAACTCCAAAAGAAAAACTAGCAAACAAGCATGACGTCACACGAGCCGTGCCGTATGTCTGTGCAGCTCCCCCTTCCCCGGGAGGGGGAAGGGGAAGCACCAGACCTTCGCGCCGGCGATCCCTGCCTCAGTTCTGAGGCTGGATATAAAAAACCGGAAAAAAAAAAAAAAAAACGCTGACTGGAGGGAGGGAGGGTTGCCGGGGAGCTGCCAGGACTCGCCCAGAAAATGGCAGTTCATTACATTCAACGCTGGTTTTCTAGGGGGAGCCCCTATGGTTTCCTGGAGCTACTTCACCAAAGACTACAAAAGAATAGGGTACTTACCCGGGAGGAAGTCGGTGCTCCACTCCTCAACTCTAAGTCGAGACAACGGGCTGCAACCGCCGACCCAAAGAAACACAGGCCCGACTGGGCCCAGGAACATTCACAAGGTAGTGTGCAGACAGAACCCTGTTTAAACGCCAAAAACCCCGTGCCCGAATGTTAGCCCAAGATATATTACCAAAGACAGCAGCAAGAGCAGCAAACTTACGAACATCATGGGCACGGGAATAGACCGCAGGCTGGCTGGATTTAATAACCCTACAGATGACCTGAGAGACCCGAACCCGTGAACAGGGAATAAGGGAAACAGGATCAACCCAAAGTGTCCCCCCAGACACAGAAGCCGTGGCGCGCAGATAACAGCGGAGGGCCGCAACCGGACACAACACATGGTGAACCCCCGGCCTGACAAACAAAGCATCTACAACCCAAGAACCCCTCCGGAAACCAGCAGTCTCATTCTTCGCCAGAAGAGAGAGAGACGGTTGCAGAAGAACATACCGATGACCACGACCAAGGAGCAAAAACCTTTGCACCTGAGCAGAGCATGAAGCTCCGCAACATGACCCCTGGAGGCCAATGCCAACAGAAAAAAAAAAAGAGCCTTAGCAAAGTAATCCTGAACCGATGGGGCCACAACAAACCGAGAAGATAGGAGAGCACTCTGTCCAAAGACAAAGACCAGGACGGATCAGGCGGCGCACGACCAGGCCGGAGATGAAACAACACACGAGATAGCTTGTGAAACAGCGCAGAAGTAACATCGATACCGAAAGCAAGCTGTAGTGGGTCCGCCAGCGCCGCACGATAAGAGGCGACAGTATTAGGCATAAGATGACAGTCCTGGAATAACCAAGAGAGAAAGGACAACACCACACGAACTGAAAGCGAAGAGCAACGACAAAAGGACAAAAAGAACTGAAAGGACTGCCAGGAAACTTCATACTGCCGCCGAGAGGAAGCCCACAGGTGGGAAACCACCAAGGAAGCCACCTGATCACCATAGAGACAGTGATAAACAGGAGTCAAAAACGCCAAACGCGAAGACTCGCGGAGAAGAGCGAACCAGTCTCGTACCGAACCTGGCTGATCTTCTGAAAGAGGCGGAGCCGCAGAAAAACCTCAGGGTTCGGACAATGGGCAAGCAGCGCCTGAAACCACGGCTGGGCCGGCCACCATGGGGCCAAGAGGACTACTCGCCCCTAGTAAGTCTCCAAGCGGGCCAGGACCTGGAGCAACAGCTGAACCGGGGGAAAGAGGTACAGGAACCCCCACCTCGACCAGTCCTGCCGAAAGGCATCGATCACAAACCGAAAGACGCCTCGACCACGCTGACACGAAGAGGTCCACCTCCGGGTGTCTGAAAGTCCGGCAGAGCCAACTGACAGAATCGGCATCAACTGTCCATTCCGTGGACCTGGGAACGAACTTGGACAGGCCGTCCGCTAGGATGTTAGACCCCCCCCCCCCCGGACATGAACCACCAGGAGAGCCAAACCCCGAGAACTCAGCAGACAAGTCACCCAAAGCGACCAACCCCAAAGAGCCAAAGACCGCATCGAACCCCCCTCGGTTCAAGCAATGAATCGCCTGGGAGCAGTCCGAATTGAGCCAGATCATTAATCCGCGGGCGACCCGACCCTCCGAGGCGCAAACCACACCGCCGCGAACTCCCGCACCGTGCTGTGGACCCAACGGAAGGACGGACCCCACAGCCCCTGGCCGGCCTGTTGAGCACTGGTTATAAAACCCCAGCCGAGAGACGAAGTGTCCGTGAACACATCGAGCGAGGGCTCGGGAAGGCACCAAGGCACAGAACCCCGAAAAACCCGAAGAGGAAGCCAGCGACGCAGCAGCCGACACAAAGCCCCCGGGGGGGGGGGAGGGGGCAAACCCAGCAATCGTGAGAGGCAGAAGGGACATCCCCGAAGGAACCAAACAGCCGATGAAACCAAACCCGACCCGGCGGGTAGACCAACATCGCGAAGTTCAAGCTCCAGCACAGACCCTCAAGCAACCACCGAGTGATCCGGGAGCCTCCCAGAAACAGGCACAGGCGAGACTGCAGCAGAAGGACAGACGCCAGAGGAAGAGACAAGGAAGTAGTCCGAGAGTCCCACACAAGATCCAGCCAGGTTCGAACCTGGGAGGGAACCAGACGGGACTTCCGCCAATTCAGCAGGAACCCAAACTCGGCAAGCTGGGAAAGCACCAAATCCCTGGCAAGCAGACACGTGGACCGACTGGGAGCCCAAACCAGCCAGTCATCAAGGTAAGCCAACACCCGAACACCTAACAGATGCAGACGGGCCACCACAACCCGGGTAAGGCGTGTGAACACGCGAGGTGCCAGATTTAACCTGAAAGGGAGACAACGAAAGCGTTAGCAATGACGCCCCACAACAAAACCGAGCCAGTCCTGGAACCCCATATGAATAGGAACGTGCCAATACGCGTCCTTGAAATCCAGGGACACCATCCAAGCGCCTGGCTCCAACAGAAGCCGGACCTGGGAAAGAGTTGTCATCCAAAACGAGGGGCAAGAAACCCAAGGGTTCAGACGGGACAAGTCCAGAATGAACTGCAGGTCTGCACAGTCCCGTTTCGGAACTGGAAACAGGCAGGAAACCCACCTGAGGGACATCGTTGTTTCGACTACGCTCAAGCGCACGCACTCCAAGATGACCCGACAGCGCAGGAGAGGAAGCCTGCTCGGTCAGCCCCGAACCCCCCGAAGGCGGAGGAGCCCCCCAAAGCCACCGCAGGCCGTGAGAAATGACCCGAAATACCCACAAATCATAAGACCAGGCGTGAGCGAACAGATCAAGCCTTCCCCCCACCACCCCGTCAATGGGGCAAACCGCGAAAGGGCCGCTGCCCCTTACAGGAACCCAATCAGTGCGCAAAACGAACACCGCGCCGACCAGGCGCAGGTGGGACCGCAGGCAGCACCGGCACCGAACCCGACACCTGTAGCCTACCCCGACAAATGGAACCGCGAGCCCTGGCACAACCCCACCCCAAAGGAACCCCCAGTTCCCTCGGAGCACCAACTCGGACATAGGGCAGCAGGTGGAAGAAGCCGCCTGAATACAATGCTCAAACGCAGAAGCCACAAAAAGCAGAGGATAAAACGGAGAAGATAACTTAAGAACAAGAGCCCAAGTGGATTCCAAAGAGGAAGCAAGGACCGTCTGTCGAGACGCGAAACGCACACTGAAAAACCGCAGCCACGCCTCCCGTAGGATTGGCGCAAACAGCTGCAACATGGCAGTCGACGCCTGAGCAGCCGAGACCAAGGCGCGAGACCCAGGAATGGCCCCCCAAGTGTCTCCACATCCTCCGCAAGCCAATCCAAAGACAGCTCCAGGAGGGAAAAGAAACGCAGGACCGAAGCCAAAAAGCCATGAGCTCGCAAGTCCTCACCCACAAGTGCAGCCGACAGGGAAGGAACCTGCACATGGAGCTGTACCACACCAACATCCCGCAAAAGGGCAGAAGCGAAGAGACACTCATTAAGATGCTCAAAATCGCTCCCCAGGTAAACCTGGACCATCGGCACCACCTCTCGCCACTCAAACATGCGGGTCCGACAGAATGAGTCCCAAGCATCCAACGAAAACAAGGAGCAGTCTGCAAGCCAGGACGACCCGGGAACCTCATAACGCATCCAGTAGACACACGACGATCCAAACCTGAACGGAGAAGGATTCA